TTTTTTTATAGATCATTTCATTTTCAGTAATATTTTTAGATAATTTTACAAGCATGTCCTCTGCAGGATCTATGGTTTTCATTTATGTTAATGTTAGGGTCACCCTAAAATCTTGAGACTCTTGAGAATTTGAAGACTGCTTTGGATTACTGTCTTATTGTAGACATCATGTTTTTTTTTTAAAGTTTTGGTTTCTTGACTGAATTTGCAGAATTTTACTGGAAACTATTCTTCCTCTTCCTGTGCAATGTTTCCTGTGCCACTGTCTGCTACAGCAAGCAGAATATATCCTCCCCCATGTTGGCAAAATGTTTCTTTCCTCAAATGGTGCCATTTCTTTCTCCTGATATATTTTTGTGGTTATTATGATTATTTAAGAACTAAATATGACATTGTTTTTCACCACTAAGTTTCAGATTTTTGTGGATTACGTGAGAGTGCTATTTATTTTCTGATAATGTTTCCATTCAGACCCGGTTTGTGTATTAGTGCTGCACAGTTCAATAGTGCAATATCTCTAATGGGTTAGTGAGAATAAATGACTAATCCTCCCTGATATGGTGTTCACAGCGCTGGAGTGCACAGGAGGACAGGTGTATGAGGCATGTGGGAGTGTGTGTGACCGGACTTGTGGTTCTCTATCTGGCGCTGAGGCTGGCTGTGAGGGGGAGAGGGTGTGTGAGGAGGGCTGTTTCTGTCCCACTGGGAAGTACCTGAGTTCCTCAGGTGAATGTGTGACGGCTGACCAGTGCACCTGCCTGCATGATGGACAACTCTACCAGCCTAATGATGTCTATGCAGATCACAACAGTATTTGGTCAGTGACTATGCATGCTTATGCACAACTTTAAACTCTAAACAGCTGCTGTGGTTTACTGTTTTATCATTTTTGCCATCTTGTCTTTGCTTATGAGTGCAGCTACTGTGAGAAGGGCTCCATGCGGTGTAGCTCCACTGAAACGTCTTCATTGCTCTCTGACCTCTTCTATGATGATGACCCAGCACCATCCAGAGGTATAACTGAGTGTTTTAGTTCCTGAACCTTTTTCATGATAATGGCTAGTAAAAAACAAGCAGTTCTCATTAATAGTTCTCATTTGACAGTTGAACCCTGAACAACTTGATCAGTGTGTCTCGGGCAAATGTTTGATTTTTGTCATGAAGCTTGCTTGATTGTTGTTTTTTTTTAAATTAATTCGTTTTTTATGTATCCAGAGCGTCGGTCAACACAGTGCCCTCCTCCGCTCATTCGCGCTGAGTGTAATGCAGGAGAAAAGGGTCTGGAGTGTGCAAGAACCTGCCAAAATCTGGATCTGCCTTGTGTCAGTCTTGCCTGCATCCCAGGCTGCCTCTGTCCACCTGGCACTGTAGGGGGTTTGTTATGTTGTGTGCATGCTGTAAGTAACAAAGTGAGCATATAAAGTGATTTGATTGATTAATCAAGCTGATTTCAGGTGCGTCACCGCAGAGAATGCATTACACCGGAGCAGTGTCCCTGTTACCATAACAACAGGCCATATGCAACAGGACAGACCATCTCTGTGGATTGCAACACCTGGTAAAATGCTTGTTAATATATTTGTCCATTAAAGGAAATACCTCTACTGTGTTTGCTTAGCAGGTGTCCTGTTTTGCAGTGTGTGCAAGAACAGAAAGTGGCAATGCACGGAGAAAGTGTGTGATGGTGTGTGCCGCACCGTGGGGGAAGGGCATTACATCACTTTTGATGGCTTAAAGTACTCTTTCCCTGGCCTCTGCCAGTATGTCCTAGTCCAGGTAAGAGACTGAGAAGGACTTCCAAAAAGGGCGCCAAAGTGAACTGCAGACTATGAAGTACATGCACTCTTTGTTAATCAGGTCCTGTCCTATCTTTCTCTACTTGCACATATCAATAGGATATGTGTAGTGGGGAAGACGGTTCCTTCAGGGTGCTGGTGGAAAACGAGGCCTGTGGAATTGTGGGACACCGCTGTGCAAAAGCTGTCACAATCTTCTACCAGGGAGGGTTAATAATAATGCAGCATGGAGAGGTAACACACAAACATTCATTTATACTGATTCACATCAACACATGCAACTTATTAAGTGATTTGTTGTATTAGTGCAAAGTCCAAATGGATTTATAATCTTGTAACATGTAAAAAAGTGTAAAACTTGAAATAATGTCTTTACTCTCGAGAGAGGCTATTAACCAAACATGTTGTTAACGTTAACTTACTTGAATATTTATCTAAAGACTGATATTCATTCATTCACAAAATTCATTCTAGATGTTTGGCTTTTAAACATTATATTTATAATTTAGGCATTTCAACAGTACAATTATTAGTGGAGGCTGTGTCATGGTCCGGGGCAATGTTGGCCCAGTATTCTTAGTTTTCGTGTGTTTTGTATTTTGTTCTTTATTTATGCCTTGGTTCCTAGGTTGTTCTGTTAAGATTACCCCCTGTGTGCCCCTCTGTGTATCTGTGAACCCTCGTTTCCCCTCCTTGTGTTATATTCCATGTTTCCCCCAGCCCGTTATGTCTGTGCTCTCTCTCTCTTCCTGTCTGAACCTCTGTGTACTTCCTGTTTTACTTTGACAGTCTATCGTCAGTATGCGTCATGTTGGGTTCACTCCTGCCCCATCTCATTACGATTATCTGTGTCAGCTGTGTTCCCTGTGTGCTCCCACTTCCCTTGTTAACCCTCTGTGTATTTATGTCCGCGTCCCCCTCAGTTCAGTGTCGCGTTCTCCGTCATGACTGTGTGCCCCTCCGTGTGTCTTCTCATAAGTCAGTTCCTTTATGACTTCCCAGTTTAGTTTCATATTATTTTGTATCGCCTTTATCTTCTGTCAGCAATAAAGCTGTATTTTGAGTTCAGTCCTGTTTTCCCGTGAGTTTGCGTTTGGGTCCTCATCCTGCCTGCACACAGCCTAATCATGACAGGCTGTGGCTAAAGAGGTACAGCAGGTCATCTACAAATCGGAAGACTGGTGATTTGAGCCCTGGCTGATCCAGTATATATGTATACAGTATACAAAGCACTTAAACACCAAAAAACAAGGTGCTTGTGTGAATGAGACATGTTGTCTAAAGACCCTTGAGTGCTCAAGTACAGTAGAAACGTGCAGTTTGATGCAAAACCACAAACTGTCTTGTATATTTCAGCAGTTAGATTCAACTAAAAGTTTTTTTAGTTGAATGTAAAGCAGGACACAAGTACATTTATAACTTGTGTCCTGCTTTACTCAGACACTCTGCAAACGAACTTAGTCAAGTTGTAAGCTTTTGAGACTTGACCTCTCAGTATCCCAAATGCACCTGTAATGATGACCTTTCTGTCTTTCAGGTGAAGATGAAGAGGCCGGTGCAGCAGGGCTCACAGGTGGAGATTGTCCGATCTGGTCACTTTTACACTCTGCAGCTGGGGAAACACATTTCCCTCAGCTGGGATATGGGAACCCGCCTCCTGGTTCACATCTCACCTGAATACAGGGTACTGATGTATTATGACTAATTGTGACCGCTTGAATCTTTTTCATTTTAGTCATAATATAAAATATTAAATATTATTGCGTGTAGGGTCGGGTGTGCGGCTTGTGTGGTAACTTTGATGGGAATGTAAACAACGACTTGATGAGCAGTAACCACCAGCTAGAGGTGGATTCTTCACACTTTGGGAACTCCTGGAAGGTCATTCCCAGCTGTGCTGATCTCACAAAGGTAAAGTCTAGACTTAAAGGGCTGGCTTGCTGAATGGAAAAATTAATATTTTCTCTCTACTAATGTTAGGAAAATCTGCTGATGTTTTGTGTGTCTAAAAGAAAAAATATGTCATTATCAGTAGCTTAAAAATCCTACATCGGATGATCTCTAATATTTAGATCTGTCTCTGAGCATTGTACTTCACCAGGACTGTTTGTGGGCTTACAGGACTGAAAATTAGATTTCTTTCAGTGTCAGCGTTATTCATTATATCCCACCGAGAAACATTAGAAATATATTGAGATCACAGTGACTGATCTACTTGAAAATCTCTGCAGGCGACCAACTCATAGTAGTGTAAGGACTAAAATGAATCATTCGCATACATTTTTTATGTTATTACAATGAAGTCAAGTATGGTGACGATTGCAGTTCTTTGCATATATTTCAGTAGTGCACTGGCACAGAATAGATAGAGACATTCTACAATAAATTCACAAAGAGATAAACTATGTCGCACCAATTTGCTGTTTTTATTTTATGTGTGTAGATACCTGCTCCTTGCACCGACAACATTGTCAAACTGGTAACAGTGGAGCAGTCGTGCCGTATCCTCACTGGTTCCCTCTTTAAAGAATGCAACAGTCAGGTGAGCAATTACAGGCAAACTTTAACTGATCAAGTGAGATGCTTTGACGGGTTTATACTCTTTACCCTCTACCTCTGCCTGTGTGTCTGTAGGTGGATGCAGAGCCTTATGTAGAGATGTGTGTGGAGGCAGCATGCTCGTGCCCATCAGTGGGTGACTGCCAGTGCTTCTGTGATGTTATTGCCGCCTATGCACAGGCTTGCTCAGAGAGTGGTGTATTCGTCAACTGGAGATCAAATGATCTTTGCCGTGAGTATGAAGAATTCATTATGATATAAAAAACACAAGTCATAACTGCTTGACCAAACTAACAAAAATAATCGAAGTCGCATCTAGTTTTTTGTGCTAAAAGTCATGATTTTACTCATAATATCAGAATGCAGATTGCACATTTTTATCAGTAGTCTAATATCACAATTATTATAAAGTTATCTTTATAATAATAAAGTTATTTTTTTGTAGCTAAGTGAAATGACTGAAAAGTGCATGCTACAATGTTCTGATTCCTTAGCACTGAGCTGTGAGGAGCTGAATCCTAGAATCCCAGGTGTAGGGGAGGAGTTATGTCAGTGGAGATACAATACCTGTGGTCCTGCCTGTCCAGTCACCTGCCAACATCCAGATCCCCTCCAGTGTTCGCTCACATGTGTGGAAGGCTGCCATGCCTACTGCCCTCCAGGTATCAACAAACACTAAATGAATGCTTTCAGGATTTATATATCGCACGAATGTAACGGGACAAAAATATATTGTGGGGATTTTTACACTGACTTTGATGTTCTTAGGACAACTCCTGGATGAGGTGGCCATGCGATGTGTTGAACCCTCGCATTGTCAGGTGTGTATGCATGAGGGTCAAAGAATCTCCCATGGGAACAAGGTCATCCTGAATCACAATGACCCCGACCAGTGCAGGATATGGTAATACTTCATCACAACATTTCCTCATGAGTTTGAATATTTCGGTTTTCTGCTTCTCACCAGGCTTGGCTTACATAGAACCGAGGTTACCCTGGTAACCAAATGTTTGGTGATGAATGCTTTGCAATTATATTTCATGATGCTTTGTTGTTTCTTTACTATAGTCATTGTGACAACAACACATTAAGCTGTGAAGCGTGTGCCTCCTCCACCATGTTCACAACTCCCACACCGACGCCCACCTATGGCACCTTCACAACAATTCCCTTCACCACGTTGATGCCTGAGGGCACGTGTGACCGTGCCATGGACCTAGCATTCTTACTGGATGGATCAGAAGCTCTGACTGAAGATGAATTTGAGGCTGCAAAACAGTTCATACTTGGGGTGGTTGAACGATTCCGCATGGGCTCAGCTCACACTCGAGCAACAGTGCTACTCTACCACTCTGGAGTCAAAACATATGATCTGCAGGTAGTTAAACATTGCACGCGTGTGTGACTAAGCAAGTGGGTATTTTTGCACAAAATATGGAAAATCTGCAAAATCTGTCTGTAAGGAGTTTAATTTTGGTGTGTTCATGAGTTTTGGTTGCGTTGATACAGAAACATGTGATACACATGTTTGTGTTGGTGTTCTAACTATCAGTAATTCATGTTTGAGTAAAATAAGAATGAAAAAGATTTTAAAGTGTTATTTCTGCTGTAATCAATCCAGTCAGAGTTAATATACTAAAAAAACATAAATTTGTATATACAGCCATCTAAATTCAGCAAAAAAGTGGAAACTAAAATGCAACAGGAAGCAAGTGGATGCATTGAATAATGCTGATGACTAATCAAGCTTGGTAAAAAGCAGCTTTTTTGGCTCACTGAAACTGATTCATAGTAAAAGTCTACATGTGAATACTTGATCTACTATTTTTCCTCCCTCTCTTATGCCTCTAGGTTCAGAAGTGGATATTTAAGAAGACTGTGCGTGAGCTTCATTACACAGGAGGAGATGCCGCTTTCATGGATGAGGCCGTCAAATATCTGGCTATCAACATCTATGACAAGAACAAGCGTGAGAACGCCGGCCGCATTGCCATTATCTTGGCTGCTAGTCCCAACCCTCGCCCTATCCGTTCCATTGTAAAGATGCTCCGAAAGAAGGCCATCACCACCCTGACAGTGGCACTGGGTCCTGGGGTAGATATGTCACAAATTACTGAAATCTCCAAGGCCAATCCTGATAACAGGGCCTATGTGCTGAGCAGCACAGGTGAGCTGCCTGATCGGCTGGTGGAGCTGACAGATTACCTCTGCACCTTAGGAATGGAGCCTGAGGTGGTGAAACCTCCAGCACCAAAGACCACAGTGGGTAAACCTCAAAAGACCACAACCACCACTTCCCCAGTTCTTCATCTGGAGACAAAACCCACACGGCGCCTCCCCAACACTCCTGAAGCTACAGCACCATCTGGCCTATCGCCCACTACCACATCGCCATCTGTTCTTTCTCCAACCAAAGATGTAACATTTATCATAGAAGGCTCTGATGCTGTTGGTGAAATAAACTTTAACAAGTCGCTCCTCTTCCTGGAGGAAGTTATCACAAAACTGACAGAGGAGGAGGAGTTGATTCGCATCACTGTGATCCAATACTCAGTGACAGTCACTGTGGAGATCAGTCGGTGGGAGATAAGGCAGCACAGAACCCGCCTGCTGGAACGCCTGAGGGAGGTTCGTTGGAGGGGTGGTAGTAAGACAAACACTGGAGCAGCTATCACTACCACTTTTCAAGAAATGGCTACGGTCCAGCCTTCTCTTCGTCCAACCCCACCTCAGCTGGTTTTCCTTGTGACAGAAAACCCACCAACTGACACAGTAACGCGCCCACCATCTACCAGCGTCCAGACTCATGTGTATCCCATTGGTGTTGGACCAAAGATACAAGAAATGGACTTGATTCAGTTCAGTTTTCCTCAGCGTCCATTAATGGTGGAGGACTACAGCCATCTGTCTAGCGTGGTCCACCGCGTAGTCAACATCACACGCACCACAGTCAGACCCCGCTCACCAACACTGCCACCACTAGTTGTCCCAACACATGCCAGCTTGCCAGTCTCAGGTACCATAACAGAAATGTTTATTCTCATCAAACAGTCCTCAGGGATTTCTTAGTCTATATTAACTTGGAGTCTTATATTTGCACAGTGCCGTGTAAGAAGCCTCTGGATGTGCTGTTCCTGCTGAAGTCTGGAGGGCAGCTTGAGGACATGAAGACATTTGTTAAAGCTTTTATCAGTAATGCTGACATAGGTAGGTGTGATGCAGCTCTTATATGCAGATTTTTCTCACTGGTGTGTTGTTATTAATTTAGTTTGCAATCACTGTTTTTAGCAGGGGGTTTTTTCTTCAGAAATGCAGCATGTTTAAGGGCCAAATAGGCTCTAAGAAAAATATTGAAGTATGTCTTTTTCCCCAACTGATATTTACCAGATTTCCATGAGAACAATACAGTTACTAAATTGCTTTAGTTTATTCGTGTTAGATCAAATCATATATATATATTTTTTAGCATTATTGACCTTGAAAGAACAATATTACTCATGTTTAAATTATTAAAGAAGCACCTTTTTACAGTGAGTTCTGTGTTTGTATGTGTGCAGGGCTCAGTGGCACTCTTGTGAGTGTTGTGCAGTATGGAGACACCAACACAGCAGAATTCCTATGGAGTGATCAACAGAGCAAATCAGACCTCCTGAGGATGGTGGAGAGAATTACTACAAGGACTCCTGCAGCCCCTAAACTAGGTAAAGGAGCTTGCTTAAACTAATATGCACACATATTTAGACAGATGCACAATCACATGCAGTCATTTTTCTCACTTTTTGCAGGGTCTGCATTGAGATTTGCTGTGCAGACATCGATCTCACCAATCAGTGGTGGAAGAGTTGGTGTAGCCAAGGCTGTGGTGATGCTGGTGATGGACAAATCAACTGATGATGTTGGGGAAGCAGCTAATGAGGCACTGGCAGCAGGTAATTAAATCATCATTAACACACTGGATTCCTCAGTAAAAACTTCAGTTGGTATGTTTCCATCCTTCATCTTTCTCTGTCATAGCTGTGGTGTAGCTTCACTGATAAGATTGTCTTCCCTCAGGTGTATCAGTGTTCCCAATTGGGATTGGACCAGACTATGACAAGAGTGAACTTGGAGTGCTTGGTCACCAGGGCAACCAAGACAACACTCTCCATCTGAACAGCATGGATCAGTTACTGATGTTGCTGACTCTGGACAGGAGTTACACAGAGAGAATCTGCAGAGGTGCTTACAGGCAGAGACACATACATTAAATCTTCATTACATAGCGATGATAGAAATTGACAGTAATGGAAATGTTATGTGCTCTGTTATATATATTTTATTTATTTTAAAATTGTATGTATTTTTTTAGCTGGTCCACCAGGAGTGTGTGTTGATGATAATGGAAATGAGAGAAAGGTGAGTACTGTCTGCTAGATACAACATTAATGTAACCTTTTACAAGATTTACTTTTAGCAAACTGTGCATCTCTCTCTTCATGCCTTAGCCTGGTGAGTCATGGCTGCTGGAGGATGGCTGTCACTCCCTCCTCTGCCACCCCAGTGGGGCGGTGACAGTACAGAATCACAAAGTCAGCTGTGACAGATTGGAGCCTCCAGCCTGCAGAAACAACATGCCACCTGTTAAAGTCCAGGAGACTTGCAACTGCCACTGGGAATGCCCTTGTACGTACATCCAAAGGATCCAATAGCCTCTTAGGTCTAGTCCATCTATATAAAGTGTGGACTATTTGTGTACTTGCTGTTAACAATGAATGCTGGGAGCTAACACTCCTTTCTATTTATACTAAGTGTTAATAGAGCACAAGATTCTGGCTCCTGTACAAACACATGTTTTCCCTCCTGCCTCAAATGTATTGACAGGCATGTGTATGGGCAGCTCCACCAACCATGTAGTGAGGTTTGATGGCCTGGCACTTAGGCTGGATGGGGAGGGTTTGTGCTCCTATACACTTCTCACTGTCAGCAGAGGCTCCAGTGAAGGGTCAGAGGTCAAACTCCACACTGGACCTTGCCAAGACTCGGCAAACTACCACCAAGTCTGCATGAAAGCCATGGAGGTGATCCATGGCTCATATAGGGTGCTGCTGAAGGATGACATGACGGTAAGATATATGATATATGTTATGTTTAAGAAGTCTGCATTAACTGTAAGGATTTGCTCATTTATTTTGCATATGTTTATTTGAGCAGGCCATGATTGGAGAGGAAGAGCTTGCACTGCCGTGGCGGCACTCTGGCATTGAGCTGGTGCGTTATGGCGGAGTGATGCTGCAGCTGAAATCGGATCATGGCTACGTTCTGAGTTTCACACCTCAGAGCAATGAGTTTACCATCACATTACTCAGCTCCACTACGACAGGACACACTGCTGGACTTTGCGGTAACTTATATAAAGAGCCCACATTTGTCAAATATATGACAAAAGTCAGCATGTCTCACCCAGTGGCTTTCTGTATTTGTCTTTTTATTCTGATAACTGCCCCAAATATTGTTTTATCAGGTGGCTGTGGGGAGGAGAAGTTGAATGTCCTTTCTTTACGCAATGGCACCTCGACCACCGACCAACCAGCTTTCATCTTAGACTGGACTGTAGCTGTAGAGCACGGTGTGTGCCTGCCAAGACGGAGGGCGGTGTGTGCATCTGGAGCGGCGATGGGATGTCAAGCTCTACGTTCCGAGGTGTTCGAACCATGCCATGCATATATTCCCGTTCAGGTTTTCCTCACCAAGTGTGAAGAGCAGGCATGTGAGGAGTCAGATGTGTGCGAGCTCATTTCAGCCTATGCACGCCTCTGTAGACAAAGAGGTGTGTGTGTGGACTGGAGGAGCCCTCACCTCTGCCGTGAGTAATTTTCTGATTTGCAGACGAGTTTATCTTCTACTCCAGCGAAAACATTTTAATACCTGAGCCTAGATCTAAACTTAACACTGTTCTGTGTTGCAGCGTTACAGTGCCCGAGTTCCATGGAGTATGATGCATGTCGGACAGGTTGCGTGCAGGACTGTGGTAGCATACAGTCGTTGCCAGGCGACTGGTCGGTTGCTAGGAGTAACGAGTCATCCTGTATGGACACGCCGACTGAAGGCTGTTTCTGTGCTGAAGGCACAGTTTTGAATCAGGGACGGTGTATACCACCAGAAGCATGTGGACAGTGTGTTGACCATCATGGGCACACATACACGGTGAGGCACAAAACAAGAAAAGTGTGACTGAATCTGTTAGGAAGCAGTGACGCAAAATCAAGTTCTTAGTTAAAATAAATAAACACATATGCTGTTGGAATACTATCAGGCAAACACTTAGAGAACAGGTTAGAGAATAAAATGTGATTTGATTGCCCTCTAGTGTTTATTTCTAATATGACCAACTTCACAACACGAGCCTGGTTTTGTCTGTGTTTGTACAGTATATGCAGAGTTGGGTACCAGAAGAGAACCCATGTTTGATTTGCATGTGTTTGGATCAGCAACGGATCAACTGCACTGACCGGCCCTGCAACAATGTCAGAAGTCAGAAACCCTTCTTTTGCTCCTCATTATGCTCTTTGCGTCTGCTTTTGTAGTGTTACTAAAGAAGAAGAAGAAAAACTGCCATCTTTTTTAAATTAATCATGTGTATCTGTTTGTAGCTCCAGTGTGTGGACCTTGTGAGGTCCTCAGAAAGAAGACAGAGTCCAAGTGCTGCCCAGAGTATGAGTGTGGTATGTAAAAAAGGATAGTCTCTATTTGCAACAAGGAGCAGCTTTACTATACTGCGTGGTCAGTCACTCAGTGTAGTTATTAAATTATTATGGTCCAAATAGCTCAACTTTAACTTCTAATAACTAATAACATAGTTACTCCTAATTCATTCCCCAGTATCTATCCTCATTTTTTTTATACTTTGTTGGATAGTGTTACCAAATGTATATCATGTGTCCAACTTGCAACACACTGAGCCATGCTGTCACTTTCCAGTTTGTGATCTAGTGAGCTGTGACCTGCCTGAGGTTCCCCGCTGTGAGGACGGTCAGACTGTGGTCCTGAAAAACCCCGGGGAATGTCAGCCTATACACGAGTGTGGTAAGTCATTAATACATTCTCTATGATGCTCCGGCCCCACGGGTAAACACACACATAGTCATGAAACAGAGCGCATGTTGACACAGCCGTATTCACCTCTTTTTCTGTCTCAGTGTGCAAAAAGGAAGAGTGTCCTCTTCAAGCTCCCCCCAATTGTACACCACATCGCCATCTGTCGGTGAGAAAGACAAAGTGCTGCGACGTGTTTGAATGTGACTGCAGCTGCCAAAACTCCACCCACACCTGTCCCACTGGGTTCATCACGTCCTCCACTACCAACGATTGTGGGTGCACAGAAACCAACTGCCTGCCAGACAAGGTGAGTGTATTTTTGGATTCAAATCTGAGTGCAATATGTTTGTTGTTTGTCCTGCAAGCTTTATGTCCTCTGTGTCTCTAGGTGTGTGTGGTTGGTGGAGTGGTTCACTCAGTGGGGAGTGAATGGGAGCAAGGTTGTGAGAAGTGCATCTGCACCGAGCTGCAGGACAAAGACACGTCTCTCCATGTTGCACAGTGCAAACCGCCTGTTTGTGACCGGGCCTGTCCTCTGGTGAGATTCACAGAGACACCAAAGACGCATATTTAGCTTGTGCTTCTAAAGTGATACATTCCTATATATATTTAATATGTATTTCAGGGCTCAACATACACTTCATCAGAAGGAGAGTGCTGTGGAAAGTGCACACCAACCAGCTGTGTGGAGTCAGGGGGAGAGATGCGAGGGGACACACTTATCAGTGGAAAGCTTAGACAAGTACGTGTGTGTAGAAATCAGACATGCCTGAAGGATATGTGCAAATAATTATTGCTGCATAATTATGAATCTCAAAGTGTTTGAGTCAGTGAGGGACAAGAAGTCACTCAGCAAACTGCTCTCCATCACTGACAACCCATTGCACCAACTCCAGTCCACTAGAGAGCCAGCAGAGCTCCTTCTCCACCGGACTTATTAAAGCCGACTGCCATAAAGAATGCTTCAGGAAATCCATCCTGCTATTCTCTATAAAGCCGTACAACATGTCTCCTTTTTGTACCACTATCAAACCTAGTGTACATGTTATTCATTAATGCTACAATGGCTTGCAAAA